ATCCACTTTGAATTCATTTTTGTGTATGATGTGAAGAATATAACGAAGCCATCAAAAAGAATGAAAGCTCACCATTTGCAACAACGTGGATGGAGCTAGAGACTATTATGCTAAGCAAAGTTAAGTCGGTCAGAGAAAGACCAATACCATATGATTTCACTCATTTGTGGACTTTAAGAAACAAAACAAATGAACATACAGGGAGAAAAAAGAGAGGAAAACCAAGAAACAAACTCTTCACTGTAGAGAACAAATTGATGGTTACTGGAGGGGAAGTGGGTGGGGGATGGGTTAAATAGGTGATGGGTATTAGGGAGGTCAATTGTTGGGATGAGCACAGGTGTTACATGTGCAAGAATCACTAAATTCTGCACCTGGAACTATTATTATACTATATGAAAACCAGCAGGAATTTAAATAAAAACTTGGGAAAAAAAGAGAGGCAAACTTAGAAGCAGACATTCAACTATAGAGAAGAAATGATGGTTACTGGGTAGGGGTGGGGGCGTTATTTAAAAAATGAAAAACAGGGGCGCCTGGGTGGCTCAGTGGGTTAAAGCCCCTGCCTTCGGCTCAGGTCATGGTCCCAGGGTCCTGGGATGGAGCCCCGCGTAGGGCTCTCTGCTCAGCGGGGAGCCTGCTTCCTCCTCTCTCTGCCTGCTTCTCTGCCTACTTGTGATCTCCATCTGTCAAGTAAATAAATAAAATCTTTTTAAAAAAAAATGAAAAACAGAAAAACAATAGAGAAAATTAAAAGAGAAAGAAGCCAATGCTGGTTCTTTGCACAGATCACTCGAATTTGTAAAACTGAGGGGCACCTGGGTGGCTCAGTGGTTTAGGCCTCTGCCTTCGGCTCAGGTCGTGATCTCAGGGTCCTGGGATCAAGCCCCGCACCAGGCTCTCTTCTCAGCAGGGAGCCTGCTTCCTCCTCTTTCTCTCTCTGCCTGCCTCTCCACCTACTTGTGAACTCTCTCTGTCAAATAAATAAATAAAAGAATTTGTAGAACTGTGCCAGACTTACCAAGAAAAAAAGATACAGGGCACAGTGTAACAATATCAGAAATGAAAGAGATTTCATCCCTCCTGACTTCATGAACATTAAAAAAAATAAAGAATGACAATCAACAACTATATACCCACAAATGTGAATGTTTTGAAGAAATGAATCAATTCCTTTAAAGACAACTACCAAAATATATGCAAAAACAAGTAGATAAACTAAATGAGTCTGTATTTTTAAAGAAATTGAATCAACAATTAATAGCTTTCCAAAATAATCACTGACCTAGATGGTTTCAATAGCGAATTTTACCAAAGGTTTAAATTTAAAGAAATTATACTAATTTTTTACAATCTCTTCCAGAAGGTAGAAACAGAAGGAGCACTTCCTAACTCATCCTATGAGTCCAGCATTACCCTAATATCAAAACAAGATATAGATTTTACAAGAAAGGAATACTACGAACCAATATCTATCATAAACATAGACATAAAAAATCTTGACTAACAAAACAGCAAACTGAATCTAGCATTGCAGGGTGCCTGGGTGGGTCTTTCTGTTAAGCGTCAGCCTTCAGCTCTGGTCATGATCCCGGGGTCCTGGGATCAAGTCCTGCATGGGGAATCCCTGCTCAATGGGGAGTATGCTTTTCTCTTTCCCTTTGCCATCCCCCGCCCATGCTGTCTCTCACTCTCGCTCTCAAATAAGTAAATGAATCCAGCACTCTATAAAAACAATTACATACCCCAACCAAGTAGGATTTAACATGCTTATGCAAGACCGACTCAACATTCAGACATCAAATCCATCACATCAATAAGCTAAATAAGAATTATGATGTGATCATATCAATAGATGCAGAAAAAGCATTTAACAATATTCAACACCAATTCATTAAAAAAAAAAGCTTTCAGCAAACTAGAAATAGAAACTTCCTTGATTTGATAAAGAATATGCACCAAAAACCCTATAGTTAACATCATACTTAATGGTGAGAAACTGGATGTTCCGCCCTAAAATCAGGCACCAGGCAAGGATATTCTCTTTTATCACTCTTATTCCACATTATATTGGAAGTCCTGACTAGTTCAAGAGGACAAAAAAAAGACAATAAAATCTATACAGATTGAAAAGGAAGAAATAAAACTGTCTCTATTAGTAGATGACAATATTCTATGTAGAAAATTCCAAAGAATCTTCAAAAATACTCCTGGGGCAAGTATAGCATGGTTGGAAGATATTCAAGGTCAATATAAAGTATCAACTGCTTTCCTATATTCCAGCAATAAATAATTGAAATTAGAAATTAAGAAAAAATTTCATTTACAATAACTCCAAAAATACTTACATGTAACTCAAAATATTCATAGAACTTTTATACAGAAAACCATAAAACATTGCTGAAAAATTAAAAGAAGATCTAAATGAATGGATAGATATTTTATATCCATGGATTGGAGGACAAATCTTGTTAAGACATAAATTCTTCCAAACTTGATCCATAGATCAATAGACTCTCAATTATAATCTGAACAAGCTATTTTGTAGAGATCTACAAATTAATTCTAAAGTTTGTATGAAAGGGGGATGGGGGTAACTGGGTGATGGACATTAAAGAGCTTGAAGTAATGGGTATTGTATGCAACTGATGAATCACTGAAGTCTACCTCTGAAACTAATAATACAGTATATATTAAATTGAATTTCAATAAAAAATTAAAGTTTATATGAAAAAGCAAAAAGAGCTACAATAACCAACATAATACAGAAGAATGACACTACCCAACTTCAAGACTTACTTTAAAACTACAGTGATCAAGACAGTCTGATATTATTGGTCAAAAAATAAACATATGAATCAATGCAACAGAATATACCAACATAGCGGTAGTCAGCTGATTTCTGACAAAGAAGCAAAGGAAATTCAGTGGGGAAAGAATAGTTTTCTCGAAATGATGCTGAAGCAACTGAACATCCAAACGCCAAAACAAAACAAGCAAAAAAAAAAAAAAAAAAAGCAACAACAACAAAAAAAGCAACCCACCAAATGAGATAGATCTTATACCCTCACAAAAATTAAGTATAAATGGATCATGCACCTAAATGTAAAATGTAAAACTATAAAATGTGAAGAAGAAAACATACTTAAATCTATGTGATTTTGGATTTGGTGATTTTTTTTTTGATATAATACCAAAAGTATGATTCTTGGAAGAAAAAAAATGCTAAGTTAGACTTTTATTAAAATTAAAAACTTCTGCTCTGCAAAAGACACTATTTAGAGAATGAAAAACAAGCCTCACACTGGCAGAAAATATTTGCAAAACACACATATCCTATAAAGTACTTTTATCCAAAATACACAAAGAACTCTTAAAACTCAAAAATAAGAACATTTAAAAACCTAAATTAAAAATCAGCAAAGGATGTGAACAGATTCCTCATCAAAGAAGATACACAGCTAGCAGATAAGCATATGAGAAGATGTTCAACATCATTTTTATAAGGAGATTGAAAATTAAAATGACAATGACATATGACTCCACAACTATGAAAATGTCATATATTCATGTATATACATATATATGTATAAATTATACACATATATATCAAACATATTTTATCATATCAAGGATGCAGGAAGGTGAGACTCTACATTGCTAGTGGTTATGAAAATGGTGTACACACTCTGGAAAACCGTAGGATTCCTCTAATGTTAAATGAGTTTTTCCATTGATACTCCAAGGTATTTACCCAACTAATTTGAGAACTTTTGTGCATACAACACTCTACATGCAACTGTTTGAAGAATATCTATTCACAATCGCCAAAAACTGGAAATCTCCCAAATATCCTTCAGTGGTTGAATAAACAAAATGTGGTACAAAGAATGGCATAGCATCCAACAATAAAAAGAACCATTGATACACACAACAACATGGATGAATCTCAAAGGCATAATGGTGAATGAATAAAGTCAGACTCAAAATGCTGCATATGGCATAATTTCATATACATAACATTCTCAAAAAGGCAAAACTATGGCCAATGTCTGTGTATTCGAGTTTGGGGAGGGTTTGGCTATAAAAGGACAAGACAGAATTCTTTGGGTGATGTATCCTAATTGTGTTGGTGGCTACAAGAATCCAAACAAGTGTTTAAACCCCTCCCTTCTCAAAAGGTCAATTTTACTGTGTATCAATTTAAAAAGTCAAACAAATTATTAAACAATTACTAAACATATATGTAATGTTCAAAACTAAGCAAAATGTCCTAAACTAAGTAAAATAGCAGTTGTCAAGAAAAGCACGGTATTAACTAACCTGTAACTTAACGCATTGTTTGGGAGGAAGGGCGTGGTTACACCCACAGAGTGATGTGAGTGAACAGAAAGCCGTGGACAGGCCTTGGTATCAGCGACAGGAACCAAAGGAAGTGGTGGCATGAAGAAGTATTAAGAGGAAGGCAAGAATGGGGAAAGGTCAGAACACGAATTTAGGAAGCAAAAGGAGCAACTTCGCATTAAAGAGATGCATTGGCCAAGCAGGGCTTGGAAATGGAGCCGAGACAGGATGGGTGAGACAAAGTTTGGGAAGAGTGAGCAGGGCGAAGAAGTGAGAAGGGTGGAAGCACATAGTGTGAGGGTGCAGAAAGCAAAGGCAGGCTATTTAAGCAGCTTCTCCTGCAGTCCCCCAGGTGCCAAGGGGCACCGAGAACAGCGAACACTCCTGCGCGGGAGTAACGTGCACTCTTCCTGGAGGTCCCGCGCGCGGTGCAGGTCTTAGCCGCCGGCGCGTGCGCTCCGAGGCTGGCGCTGGAGGCGTGGGGGGCGGGGGGGAGCGGGGGCGGGGCGCGGCGAGCGCTCGTCCACGAGAGGCGGGGGCGGGGCGCGGCTGCGGCCGGTGACGTCAGGGCAGGGCGCGCGCCGGGCGGCTGCGGGCGGAGCCGGGAGGCGGGCGCCGCGCGCGGCCGCAGGCGGAGCGGAGGGGCGCAAGGGGCGGAGCGGAGCGCGGGAGGAGGCGGGGGAGGAGAGGCCCCCGAGACCGCGAGCGGCAGCTGAGGAGGGGGCCGCGAACCCGAGCGCGAGCAAAACAGCTGATCTGATTTTCCTTTAAAGCGAGAGAAAATGGAAGTCGGGTAGCGGCAACTGCGGCGCTGCAGGCTGGCAGAGCGGAGCGGCGCTGCGCGGCAGGTGAGACGGCGCTGGCCGCGGTGCTGCTGGCGGCGGCGGGGCCGGGGCCGCGGACCGGGCAGGTGCGCTGTCGGAGCGCGGGCACCGGGTCCCTCCGCGCTTCGCGGAGAGGCAGGTGGGCTCAGAGGCCGGGCGACCCTGGGACCAAAGCGCGAAGGCACAGGGGGCGCGGGGGTCGCGGGCTCCACGCAGGGCTCGCGACGCGCTGCATTGCGGGCTCCGCTCTGGACCCCGCGGGCGCCGCGGGCGCCGGCTCCGGATCGGCGCGCGTCTCCCAGGCAGGGCGCGGCGCTCTGGCTGGGTCCGGGCCGGCGTCTCCTCCGGGCCCCTTAGTTGTCTGCACTGGAACGTGATGACAGGCGTGGGAGGACCGCCTCCCCCCACACCAAGTCCGTGTGGGCGCTCCGGGGGTCCCGCGGCGTCCGCCGACTCCCGGGCACAGCGGGGCCCAGGAGCAGCGCGTGAGGCCGCTAGCCGGTGCCGGGGCTGTGGCTGCGTGGGCCACTGTGGCCCGGCGCACAGCTCGCTCCCTTGCTCCTCTGGCTCTGGCTGGACAGCAGGGGAACCGTTAATGCAATTTGGCTGTAAACCGGAGGCCTTCCCTAGTATCTTCTCACTGGAGGGGAAAAAATTGCATCTGCTGTGCTTTAAGTGCTCCTTTAAATTTGAGAGATGTCAGTGATGTCATCATTAACAAAAACTTTCCTTCATTGGACACAACCGCTCAAGTGTACCCTCCTCCCGGTGCAGCTATTGCAGTCCTTTGAGAAGCTTTGTAAGAGAATGGATTTGCCTTTGCTTTCTAAACTCAACAGTATTGCACAAGTGAAAACGATATTTATTTTTATTTATTGGCTTGAGAATCAATAGATTTGAGAGTAGCTGAAAGGAAACTTGTTAGATCCCAGCGGATCTGGGAATTGCTTCATCCACACCAAAAGGATCAAGAGGAAAGTGTCATGCATGACACTTACATGCTTATTGGCTTGCCTTGTCTTTATAAATGAAAGTGAGCTGTGAGATTAAAAGAAAAATTGAGAGGATATTATATTTGATGTAACACATGATGTGTTCAGGAAAAAGTGGACAGTGTGGCCTAAATATTTACAGGCCTTGATGGCTTCAGGAAAATCTGTAGCTCTTCTTCTTTCAGCACCCCTACCCCCTCCAGGATGGGTCTGGGAGCAGCCTGCCCTAGGGAAAGGAGTGGCTCCTTCTGTGGGGCCCTCCCTGCCTTTCATTTTCTTACTGTAGCAGCTGGTGTGTCCCACCATCCTTTAGGCCAATTCAGCGCCCAGGGAGAGTGGAGAAGAGTGCAGAGCCTGGAGACCTACCTGCACGGCACATCAAGTTCTGCGGGAATTTTGCCCCTAAATGCAAGCAGCAAGCCATCATTATTATGTGTGTGTGAGTGTTCCATTAGTACTGATTGTTATGGGAACAAAAGTGAGCAAGTTCCCAAGACAGTCTGAATATCTACTTAAGCCTATCATATTGAAAGGATATTCAATAAGGGACAAAAGTATTGACATTTTTGTATTTAATAATTCATGATCACCCCTAATTGCTTAAAATAAGCATGCCTTAAATTATTAGTGTGATCATATCGGGTCTGTAAAGAAGTTAATACCATATGCCATGTAAAAGTTTGAGTCTGGTCAAGAATGTGAAGCTTTGAAATGCTGGAGTGGAGCAAAGAAAATGGGGAAGCAGTGGTTTACTTTAGGGTGATGTTCAGGGTGGCAATGAATGGAACCCATTGCCTCACGGAATCTTGCCAGGTCTGGGTCTCAGCCTGGATCTGGTATTGCGGGTGTCTCCATAGGAAGTAACTGCTGGGGCCCCCAGCCTTGGTGGAGGCCAGCAGTGGAATTGTCAAGAAGCTAAACTGTGTGTTCTCACCTTGTGGAGAAGGGGAGGTGTACCTCCCGCTGAAGCAAGCAGTGTGTACGCAGCCTCGCGCCTCTGGCAGTTGCCTGATATATTCACAACGGCAAGACTGGTTGAGACAGGAAGCCTGGTAGCAGAATCTTTTCTGACGTTTCTGTGACTTTGGTCCCACCACATGTTGTTGCTCTGGAACTCGAGCTCCTAAGTCACGGCTGAGATTTTTCTATAATTGAAGTGTTTCCAGGACTGTGTGAAATAGTATGAAAATTGTTTTCTTCAGGCTCCAGGCTATGAACTCATCAGAAATTGAGACTGTGAAATCACTCTGGCTACATATCCTTTTTTTTTTTTTAACCTGTAGACCTGTGAAAATATTCGCCATAATTTTATTTAACTCACTGCAGTGCTTGTAAAAGATAGAAATGTGTTTCCACTAAATCTTTAGGTAGTCATTTATTTCTTAAAACATTTCAAAAACAAACACTTTAAAGCCTCTTCATCCCATTTGTATGCTAGAGTATCATGTCTTCTGTTTCTGAGAAGCCAAAATTGCCTTGCTTTTATTTTTGTTCCCTTCGGGTCTTAAGGTCATGTACTTGTGTCTTAGGCCCGGAGACTAAAGGCTGAGTCAGCTCCCGCAGGGCCAGCAGGGGGCGTGCTAAACGCGGGTTGGCGGCCCATTCTCTACCTGAGCCGCCTTGGGAGAGGATCTGGGATGACCAAGTTGAGGGGTGGGTGTGTGTCTCTGTGTGTGTATTTGTGTGTGTGCACACGCACGTCAGTGTGTGCTTGTGTGCACCGCACCTCTGTGTGCCTGTCGCCCAAAGGGTGGAAACTGAAGGAAGGATGGGCAAATTACTTGAATAGCCAGAAATTGTGGCTCTAGAACTCCGGCCTCCCTCAAAGAGGCACTGTGATTACTCTCACTTGAAGGGCTCCTGGTCTTTGGAGAGTGGCTCTTGGTTCTAGTCCGAAGGCTCCATGCCTTCTCAAACTGCAGAAGGGAGGGTGTTGGCTTGGGGAGGAGCTGCTGGCCTCCATCCTGATCCTGGTGAGGACATGACTACCACCCAGGACAGCCAGAGGAAATGCCGCCAATGTCCTGCCAGATTTCCTCTTGGGTTCAACTCCTGTTCACTTAAACCCTGGGACTGTGTGTGGCACCTCCTGGAGAGTTTATTTGCCTGTCTTACCAGGGTTATTGGCCTGGGGTTACTCTGATGGAATGAAGCAAATGTTTATTCACAGTATATTTCTTTTCCCATAGAAAATGAAAACAGGAGAAAAGAGGCAACTGTGCTTTTTGCTTACATGTGCTTAATCTGACTCTAGGTATATGCAGGTAGTTCATCGGCAAGTTCCCTGTGAGGCTTCTCCTTGCAGGAGCTGAGCTCCTGAGTGGAGGGTCATCTTGTCGGTTGGGATGGGTGGATGGCTTTGATGATCACTGCAGCATCTGGAATGGTACTGAGCACCAGATACTCCTCCCTCTTCCCCAGGTCCCTCATGGTGCTCACGTGTGAAAGGGAAACATAGTACCTTAGAAGGGAATAGATTTTCTGCTAGCGAATTCTCTAAATGCTATGGCTGAATATTTCTTGATACTTCTTGCTCCATCAAAAATGCATGTAAAACCAAATTATTGATTTCAAAGGGGCAAATAGGAAAAATTTTTCAGCTTTGTGCTGAAGCACACTCTTTATTTAGAGCACTGTAAATGGCTACAGGGGGAGGGATGTGCCACTAGTAAGATTACAGGTGGCACCTTATCCTTTTAGAAGATGTCCATCCCTGAGGATGACTAAAGAACATCTCATTCAAACGGAGCCCTGAGAACCACAGGAGTTTAAGTGGAAATAAAACATGCTAGCTCCTACTAATAATCTAATTTGAAAATATTTTACCCTTGAAAGTTGGAGGTAGAGTTTTATTGGACCTTGGTTATACTGCTGTATCCCAAATAGTGTATATGTCAACCCAAGCGCAAGACAGCCTTCATGCAGATGAGACAGAGCAGACAACGTAGGAGCTACTTCGTCCGCACCTTGGGGATAGGTTCTTTATCATTCATAGTAACAGGCTGGAGAAATGGTTGAAATAATTCTTTAAATTCTGAAATTGAGAAATGCACTGGACACTGCCTCGCTACATGTCTGTATTGTGGTGGTGTGTTTAGCTGTCTGACTTGGGAATTATATCTCTTGACCGGGAAGTGGGTAAAGACTGCATTTCCACCTGCATCAGCCACAGCTCACCACCCTGGACAGCACATAGCGTGACCATGCTCTAGGCTCCTTGTGGGAAAAGGAGAGAGCTAGCTTCCTATGTCTCCAAGGCCTTATCTAATAAAATCACTCTCTTCCATGAGACCCCAGCCCTTGCTATTACGGATTTGTGTTATCCACCAACCCACATTGTGAGAAGTCAGATGCACATCACTGCTGATGGAAATTCTAAAGGCCTCTCTCGTGGTTTAAGCAGATAAGTCTAAAGTAAACTCATTTTCTAGGTTTGAAGGATTTTGAGTCTCTCTCCAGGGAATTATTTTCTATTTGAACTTAATTTAATCTTACCTCGTTTTCCTTATAAATGTAATGGAAATTTGATGTCTGAATGAATATGCATGAGTAAGATGTTATATTGACTTTTATGAAATATAAAATGAGAACTTTGAAATTAATTTCCTTTTCTGTTTGGTGTTTCACTCAATTGTTTCATTAGATTACTGTAGAGTTTCATATGGCACTCAGGACTGGTGTGACTAAACCACCCACCCACCCCTTGGTGAGATTAGATTAAGTTTCTCTGAGAGAAGACAAGAGTTGAGGAGTTCGTCCCAGAGAAGGCAAATGTGTGGAGCTGAGGCAGATACCCCACATGCCATCCCAGCCAAGTTGAGCCTGCTGCCTCCGGCGAGACCTTGCTCTGCTACCCTTGGGGCTGACACACCCATGGTTTATCCCCATCATCTCTGTGCTTCCATTCTAGGAATTGTCCATGACATGAGCCTCTCCTGGTTCTTAAAGTAAACTCAGGGTTGTCCTGGCATGTCCTTGTCATGCAGGAGACTACACAATGCACCGTGTCCTGGGACATGAAGTGCCCCTTGT